CATTTGCATGCTGGGCGGGGGGGGCACCAGCAGCCCTTTGAGAAGGGGGGGAGTCCATCCTTAGCAGGACTTCCTCCCATTCCCCCCCCTCAACTTAGACTCATCAGCTATCCTCACCAGAGTGATAGTGAACACCTTGGAAGGAACGGGAAGCACAGCAGACCCTGGGCGGGGGGCAACAGGCCAGGCAGAGTTGGGGGTAACATGGCTTGAGGGTGGGAAAGCGCGGATCATGCCTGAAAAGCTGTGCATGGGGGCAGGGATAGAGGTGGCTGCCAGAGGCCAAAATGGAATGAGGCAGGAGGGCAGCACAGAGGATGGGGGAGGTGCCAAACCATGGTGGGAGCCAGCTGGCAGGCAAAGAGGGTAGTGGAATATATGAAAATTGAATGGGAGGTCTGGCACAGGGTTTTTTTTAAGTTGGAAAACCAAGACAAGGGGGCAAGCACAGCAAGAGCAGCTGATGAAGTTAAGCCGGGGGAGGGGTGTGCCCAGAGGTGCAGAAGTCAACAGGCGTGGTACTGAGACAAATGTGTGCAGGTTTACAATTATGTAACAAGAGGAAAACAGAGGAACAGATCAAGTGAAAGATGGGTCCACCTGGGTAGTTTTGCACTGGGGGAAAACATGCATGGGTTCTTCTGCATGTGAAAACCTCAGTGGTTGCTGCTAGAATTGATTTCTCCTCTGGAGCAGAGATCTGGGAGACAAAGGCCCATTATGCACTGACAGCTTACTCCAGAGAATCCGAGCAGTCAAGTCTTTAAGCCTGACTTCAGATTTGTGTGCCTGCTGTATGCACCATTCTTTTTTCTCCAGTTCTATTTCTGTGTGTGTATTCTGCAGATGCAACCAAAACCCACATTTTTAAAAATTGGAGTGGGAATATCACTTGTGATGTGTGGGGGATGGCGTCCAATTTTTTTTTAAATTTACACAATTGTCCTATCGCAGCTGTGCAGTAACATCCAACAAACACCTTCCATTTAAGTCCGTGTGGTTCAGGTTTTGCAGGTGCTTTGTAGTTCCTTGAAGGAAAGGGAAACTAAATGCAGGTAAAAGGGGGAGATCCACTCTTGAAATTGACCAGACTTTTTCCTGAAATGTACAAGCAGCTAAGCCCCATTTTCCATTTTGCGGGCACTAGGGGATTCTCAGCTGTGTTGTCAGTCACTATGAAAAATGGAAAAGTCACACGCTCGGGTGGTCACTTGCATGCTGGGCGGGGGGGCACCAGCAGCCCTTTGAGAAGGGGGGGAGTCCATCCTTAGCAGGACTCCCTCCCATTCCCCCCCAACTTAGAATCATCAGCTATCCTCACTAGAGTGATAGTGAACACCTTGGAAGAAACGGGAAGCACAGCAGACCCTGGGCAGGGGGCAACAGGACAGGCAGAGTTGGGGGTAACATGGCTTGAGGGTGGGAAAGCACGGATCATGCCTGAAAAGCTGTGCATAGGGGCAGGGATAGAGGGAATATATGAAAATTGAATGGGAGGTCTGGCACAGGGATTTTTTTTAAGTTGGAAAACCAAGACAAGGGGGCAGGCAAAGCTAAGCCGCGGGAGGGGTGTGCCCAGAGGTGCAGAAGTCAAGAATCCTGGTGTTGCCCTACAAGGCCCCTACTGTGTTTTTATGAACTCATACGCTATGAAAAACCTGACCTGTGCTAGTTGTGTGCAAAAGGGACTGAACTATAAGAAGAGAAGAAGAATTTAAGGCAATCTGGCTAACACTGGGGTCTAATGTGCAAAGGGGGAATCTAATGGGAGGTCTAGTGCAGGAGGGGGGTGGAAAGTTGAAAAACCAAGAAGAGGAGCAGGCACAGCAAGGGCAGCTGGTGGTGTTAAGCCAAGCTTTATCTCCACCATCTGTGCCGCAGAGGATCTTTTAAAACATTTACTTCACACACACACACCTCTAGCCAAACTTTTAAAGCATTCTTTGTCAATGTTTTTTTTTTTCCTCCAGCGGTCCAAGATTAGCAAAAAACTCATATTGGTAGACTGAAGCCACTTGTTAAAAAAAATATTGAAAGATGGAAAACCTAAGCAATAGTGCAGCTTGTATACCAATGAAGAGGGAAGAACCACTAATGTTCTGCTAAGATGGTGACCCAAGAGTAAATACAGATTGAAGAATCTCCTGTTTCAAAAAACATACCCAGCATGGAACTGCCCAATAAGGAGTGGGAGGAACAATCAATGTGAGCGAAGGAGTGGCCTCCTGTCAGCTACGCTGCCATAAGGTTTATGGGTTTCAGTTCGCTCGCTTGACCTGTGTACCAGCCAGGCCCACATTCCATTCCCCTCGGCGCCTCTACTCCTTATCACCGACTTTGTAGCTCACTTGTGTAGTGTCTTCCCATATTTCAACCATGGGACTGGTTTCGTTTCCTTGCCTACACTCCCAATGGTTCTTCCTGCCCACGAGAGAGTGCCCAATCGGCCCATTGAGGGGGGGGGCCTTTCAGTGTACTATATCTATACCTGCTCTCTTAGTATTAGTTATTCCTAACAGTGAATATGTTTATGCTACCATAGTTCTCACAATAAAGTAAAACCTTCTTGGAAGTGTGTGCTGAAGTGATTGACTGTGGGTCCTGACACCTCCAAGGGTCCGGAAAAAGATGGGGGAGAAAAATTTGATGGAATCTATGCTTTTGAATTATGTTCACTCTGGAAGCAAAGCAAGCTCAAAACTCGCTGTAAAACCACTTTCAGAAAACCTGGGCAAACAGCTAATGGAAAGTGAACTGAGTGCTGAAGGGAGGAAAAACAATGCAGTGAAGAAGAAGAAAAAAGCACAACAGAAATGCACAGTGAAAGTGATGGGAATGCAGAACGGCAAACAAAACCCAATGGACAAGCATGATGAAAGTGAGGGAAAACAACCCTGCATAATAGGACAAAATCCTATCTTTTACAATGTGCTTTTACACGTGCTGAACAATGTACTTTCAATCTACTTTCAATGCACTTCAGCAATCATTTGCAACTGGATTTTTCTGTTTCTCAGAGTAGGATCCAGTTGCAAAGTGCATTGAAAGTAGATTGAAAGTGCATAATTTAGTGTGTGTGAAAGCACCTGTGTCAGGTTGGAAAGAGAGGCAGTTACTATCAGACCTGAAATATATCCCTGACACCACCCCCTCCCCATTAGATCCCACAGACCTCCTGATTATCTGAATATGCTGTATTTATCCTTATAGTCAAATATATGATTTGCATGTCCCTGAGACTGAGCAGCAGTAAAAGCACAATAAGGAGCAATATGCTGCCCTGACCTGGATAGCCCAGGCATGCCCAATCTTGTCAGATCTCAGAAGCTAAGCAAGGTTGATTCTGGAAAGTACTTGGATGGGAGACCTCCTTGAAATACCAGCAGTTTGGAGGACAGGGGCAGGCTTTATTCAGCTCTGAATCTCCTCCAGGCCCCGGTAGAGGTGAGTCACCAGAGGCCTCCATGACTTCCAGGTGCACATACACTCACAACCACACACATGCACATATTAAAAAAAAGAAGATGCAATATGCCGCGAATGGTGTTGCATTTATTTATTTATTTACATTATTTACAGTCCTTTCCCCCATGGACTCAAGGCAGATTACACATAGTGAGTCAGTACAGTGAGCAAAATGGGACATTCAATAACAAATGCGTTAGGATATTAGAAGTCTGGAACTACTAGAATGAAACAGAAGCATAGCATAAGTATTAACACAACACATTAAGCAGTAGAGAAATTACATAATAGGATCCCACTCACAATACGTTATATACAGCAGTAAAGACCTCAAGTCCCAATCATTTATCCGAGTAAATTTGTGAAACCATTTTGTACTGTGCAGCCTTATTACCTGCACAGAAAAACCCTCTTGAATAGTTCAGTTTTGCATAGTTTTCAGAAAGCCAGGAGAGAGGGAGCTTTCCTGATCTCTTTGGGCAAACCGTTCCACAAGGTGGGAGCTACAACAGAGAAAGCATGCATATGAGCAGTTGTTGATTTTGCATATTTGCAGGTTGAAGCCTGCAGAAACCCCTTCTGACATGACTGGAATTGTTATAGTGGAGCATAGGGAGAGACGGTCCCATAAATAAGAGGGGCCAAGACCAATGCTCCCTATAAGCTGTGGAATCTTGTGAGAAGAAATTCTACTCTGTGAGCTACTGGCATTAAAGTTGTGAGTGAGCGATGTGGCTACTGCATAAATTAGTTTGCTCTGGAGCCATCCTTCCTGAGCTGAGACAAAAATGTGTGAGCCGGAGGTTAAAAAACTGTGGGCTAGCTCACACTAACTCAGCTTAGAGGGAACACTGACCAAGATCATGAAGGGCTTTATATGTGATAGCCAATACCTTCAACTGAGCCCTGTAACAAATAGGCAACCAATGAAGGGTCTGCAGAATGGGAGTAATATACAAGCTACGGAGCTGCTGCTAATAGTTGAGCCGTGGCATTCTGGACCAGTTGGAGTTTCCAAGTTGATTTTGAGAGGAGACCAATGTACAGTGCATTACAGTACAGTAGTCTGGTCTTGATGTTACTGTGGCATGGATCCAGGTGGCCAGGTCAGGTGTATAAAAGTATGGGACCATTTTATGGGCTAGGCTGAATTGGAAGAAAGCCTTTTTTTCAAATGCATTAACTTGGTTCTCCACTAATACAGCTGGATCCAGTATGACCTCAAGGCTTTTAACTGAGGCAGCAAAGATCAGTGGAACTCCATTGAAAAATGGACAACAATGTCCTCCAAGGCCACTGCCTTCACAACCAGCATTATCTCTATCTTTTCAGGGTTTAGTTTCAATTTGTTAACTTTTAGCCAGTTAACCACTGTAGCCAGGCAGTAATTCAGGACTTCTACTGCATCACCAGGAGATTTGGATAAAGATATATAGAGCTCAGTAATGTCAGCATACTGAGGATGACGAACCTCAAAACTACAAAGGATTTGTCCTAAGGCCTTTGCATAGAGATTTAAAAGCATGGGGGATAGAACTGCACCCTACAGAACCCCACAAGATAGGTCCCTGACTAATGACAAATGGTTTCCAATAACAACTCTTTGAGTCCAATCCAGGAGAAATGATTTGAACCAGTTCAATGCACATCCCAATACCTACTTCTGTCTCCAGACACCTTGACAAGGTGGCTGTATTGAAGACTACAGATAAATCCAATAAGAGCAACAGAGAGACTTGGCCTATGTCTACACTCAGAGAAAGGTCATCAGCTAAAACTAGCAGAGCTGTCTCTGTCCTACATCCTGGCCTAAAACCAGACTGAAAAGGGTCTAGAGCAGATCAGTTAGTTGGTTCTCTACTTCTGTCTCAATCACTTTGCCCAGAAAGCATAGATTAGAGACCGAGCAATAATTGGGCATATCCTTTTTCTCTAGGGATGATTTTTCAAGTAGCAGCCAAATAACTGCCTCTTTGAGTGGTTCAGGGAAGGTGCTCTGAGTTAATGTCTGATTTATAATAGATGTTAAGGGTTTGTTGATGTGGTCCTTATACTATTTTAGAAGCCAGGATGGGTAAGGATCCAGGGTACAAGTAGTGGCCTTCAGCATCCTAGGATCTTGTCCACATCCATCATGGAAACTGGATCAAAATGATCCATAAGAAGTCTGTGTGGTGTATTAGGTCTTTTTTTCTGATGTACCTATATTATAACTGACAGCCAGGTAAGAATGTATTCCTGATATTTTCTCAGCAAAAAAACTTTGCAAAACTATCACAGCTAACTATTTTTTCCTGGGACATTAGAGGCTCAGAATTAGGCAGCAGCAAATGCTGAGCTATCTTGAACAATTGGGATGAACATGAACTAGTTGACGCTATAAGAGTAGAAAAGCAACCTTTCTTTGTTGCTGTGACCATCACTTCATAGGTCTTACAATGAATCTATAGCACAATGTGTCAGATTCAATACGGGTTCTCCGTCAGGACTGTTCTAGATGTCTCCCAACCATTTTAAGATCACCCAGCTCCATGGTAAACCAGGGGGCTGGGTTTTGTCCCATGGGTGGGAGAGGTTGATGAGGGGCAACCTTGTTGATAGCTTCAAGGAGATTCATGTTCCATGTTTCTACTACAGCCTCAACAGAACATATGTTCAGAATCCTAAAATTCTCCAAGGCATTCTGGAATCTTGTAGCCTTCATCAGCTTCTGTGAGTGGAACATTTTAACTGGGCCCTCTCTCATGCAGTGTGATGGGCCACATTCATCTTAACTTTAAGTAGGTAGATAGAGGTAAGACCGTGGTCCAGGGTGAATCTCCAGGCCTGAAACATAAGCTTTCCTCAAAGACTTAGTGCAAGAAATTAAGTCCAGGGTGTGACCTCTTTTGCGTGTTGGGTCAGTCACAATTTGGTAGAGACCCAGGGCTGTCAAAGAAGCTATAAAAGTCTGGTATTATTGGCAAGGTATTATTAACATGAATGTTGAAGTCCCCCAGTCTAGGAATCTCCAGCACCACATCAGACAACAATCATGGAGGGTGCCTACTGGGGAACTAGATGGCTGGTAGACAAGCAGAATGCTTAATTTAGAGATGAAAGACTCAAGTTCAAATCTTAACTCAGAATAAGGTGTAAAGTAGTGTCTGCACCTGTAGCTGGCTTTGGATGTTATATTATGAAGATGCATAAATGCCTTTCCTTGTACTGGGTACCTGCTTTGGACATTACACAGAAGCACAAGGAGAGGTATCTGTGTTTCTCTCCAGTTCTTCTTGCTAGGATTTGAGAATTGTGGAATAATTTGCACCTTGACAAAAGCAATGGAAACAACTAAAATATTGGGTTAATCTCTATTTCATGTAACCTCAATAGAAATTACAATGGGATTGTGATGGGCTCAATAGCTCTAATGCAATTCCATACTAAGATTCTGTTGGATGTGACATAAATATGGAATGCCATACACTCAATGAAAGAATCAGCTAAGTTCGATAGTAGTAATATTGCCAGGCTCAGAGCTTCATATGAAGGCTTATTTTTCAAGCTGATGTGCCACCATTTAGTAAGACTTCATTTGTTGTGGGTGAAATATGCCAGATTAATACATGAATCAGCAGACTCCCACCAGCTCTTGGCTCCTTGATATATGCCTTCAACTAATCTACGATAAGAAATATCAGAGTGGCTCCTAGAGGAGGAAACTTCAGCATGACTTACCCATTGGAGACTGATGGCATGGGCTTCCCAGTTCTGGAATGTAATGTAAATGCTCCCATCCTGAAGAAGAAGAAAAAGAGAAGCTAGAACTAAAATTCCCACTGATAACATACTTCTGTTCTCTTATGGTCTTGAGAAAGGTGATCCTCTTCTCAGAGTTTCCTGCAATATTATCAGCTTATTCCCAACCATGCATGAGCATAGCCTGATGCTGGTTTTGATTTTCTATCCAGGCCAGGGATATACAGTCATTTATTAATGAATGAAGAAAAGGAACAGAAATGTCTCGTTTGTTATTGTCACTCTTATAACAAAAACAAATAGGAAATTTAATTACATTTGTTAATATACTGGAAACTGTCTGGTTTAGAGCAGGGGTGACGAACACATTTGTTATGAGGGCCAGATCTGACATAAATGAGACCTTGTTGGGCCAGGCCATGTGTGTCATAAAATGTAATGCCAGGTAGTGGAGATAAAAACTTTATAAAGAACACAAACACAAAGGGTTTTTGTAACTTAAAATAAAAACATACTTAAAACATTAGCACTCTTGCAATATTTTGTTTATTTAACAGTGTCTGATAACTGACACCCCTTGCTCTGAATTATTGCATCAAAATGTCTGTGCTGTTGCAATCTTGAGTATGCTGTTCAGGTGTGTATCTTTAAGCTGCAAACCTACAATGATGCAGCAGCAGCAGAACTGGAAGAAGAAGCAGAAGACAGCCAGTTCCACTGCGGGCCTGATAGAAGCCCTCTGGGGGCCTGATCCAGCCCCCAGGCCGCATGTTTGACACCCCTGGTTTAGAGTTTAAGGAGATGGGAGGAGTCATAAAATAATGAAACTGACAGGGAATCTTTCCAGTTATCATGCCAAGCAGATCCTGCAATAGAAGAGCACTGTATTGCTGGACTTTTCTTTCCACACTGTTTCCACCAATTATCAGTCAATTGCAGCACATCCTAGGTAGAGCTACACCCTTCTTAGCCTATGGCTTGGAAGGGTATAACTCAGTTTAGGATTGCACTATTGGTGAGGATTCTCTTAATTCTATATAAACCATGGCTCCTATTTACCAAAGCTACAACAAACAATAAAATTACATTTGATAGTGCTTTACTCCAATTGCTATTTAGGTAGAGGGAGATCCCTCCTCCAATCCTTTCCCCTTAGTAGTTAATATTAATTTACACCACAGAGCACTGAGACAAACATTTTATTTTGGCCCTTCACCCAGCATTAGGTAGTGCTGCGGGCTGGGAGGAGGACAAAGCCAAAGACACTGTTGCTCCCACCAAGTAACACTTTCCCAATCATGCATACTACAGTCAGTGACACATAGAGAGAGCGAGTAGCCAGACAGACTTTAACTAATTGCTATGAGAAAGAAAAGACTTAGACATGGATTAAGAGAGGAGTTGTCGGTGCTCTTCTCCTAACGACTCTGACCTGAAGGGTGTCTGTGCCCTCTACATAGCCTGTTCTGCATTCATCCAGCAGCTATGGGATAGCTGCAAGCCTTCATTCCCACACTATAGCAGTCTTAAGAGGAGTACCAAACCTCACCCAGTAACCATCATGTTACTGCCTGCTTTCTGTGGCTGCCAACCACCTGCTTCTGCCACTATGCCAGTGAGAACTTGAATTGGACTCGGGGGGGGGGGCAGGATCCCTTGGGTGACCAATATAATTCCTGAAAATATCCATTCCATTAGATGGAAATTACAGCTTTACTGTATATGTTTCCCATTAAGACCAACAGAAAAAACAAAAACAAATGAAGGCAGTAACAACTACAACTGAAATTAAAATGAATATTTTTTTTTAAATGATAACATTACAAAAGTTTAGGCATGTGATGACATATCAGGTACCAAAGCACGGGCCACACAAGCAGCACAAGCCGCAACCCAGGATGAGGCCATATTTACACACACATGGTCATCGTTTGTTCACTGCTACATCAAGCAGTTGCTTGTAAATACAAAATTGCCCTCAAAAACCAAATACCAAAGATAGAATTTTCACGCTATCTTGCAACACTCCAAACACGACACTTTTCATGGAAAGTAGTTCAAAAGTTCAGTGCAGGTAACTGAGACATTGGCAGTATATACATATGTGTGTGTGTGTGTGTGAATCTTGTGAGAGCAAGTGCAGTAGTTAGAGTGTGGGATTAGGATCTGGGAGACCTGGGTTTGAATCAATACTTGACCATGAAGCTCACCAGATGACCTTGGGCCAGTCACTCTTGGCCAGCCTAACCTATCTCACAGGGTTAGTGTGGAGATATATTGGGAGAGGGGAGCCATGTATGCCATTCCGAGCTCCTCAGAGGAAGACAAACGGGATAAAAATTTACTAGATAGAATCTGCCTCTTGTGCTGGTAATATAAGGACAGAAGAGTCCAGATAAGGTCCCACAATTGAGCAACTGTAGATACCTGAAAATCAAACTCTTGATGAAAAGCTTGTCAATGATCAAGCACACCACAACCTTGACAAAAGTATTATCCTGGCTCTGGGATTCAGCTTGACAACTATGTGCTTATAAAAAAGTTGGAGACAGATTGCTGCAAAGAGGAAGTCTCTCTGAGCTTTTTTTGTCCCTCCATTCCCTGCTGCTAGGAACAGTGACATCTTCTAACTTTCTATCTCTTCCTTGGCTTGAGGCCATAGCTACAGAGACAGTGACTAATTCCCTTCCTTCACCGATACAGTTTCCTTGACAATATTTATAGAACCTGACTGAGCCCCCCCCTCCCACCTCTGAATGCTCTGAAAGGCCCAATTAGCTTCTCTCAGGCTGCGATCACACGCTCCTTTAGATCATAGCTACAGAGACAGTGACTAATTCCCTTCCTTCACCGATACAGTTTCCTTGACAATATTTATAGAACCTGACTGAGCCCCCCCCTCCCACCTCTGAATGCTCTGAAAGGCCCAATTAGCTTCTCTCAGGCTGCGATCACACGCTCCTTTAGATCCAACATAGATGCGAATGCCTGATGGATCTAAAGGGAGCGATCAGACAGCAACAGCTGGAAAGCGTCCCGCAGTCGTCAGCAAACCGTGCTGCTCCGCCACGGAAGCGGAGTTAAAAGCCACCGGGGAAAGTCCAGTGTTATCTGGATAAGGCGGGTCACGGGCGGACTTTCCCCTGTCTGATTGCTCAGGCACGCTCTCATGCTGTCGGGATGATCTGATCAGGCCATCCGGACTCCGTGCCGTGTGTCCCCCCCCCCCAGTATGTGCATCATTGCATACTCCATAGGGGGCCCTCAGTACAGAGGTGCAATTCCTCGATTGCTCATTTATGCGCAAGGAAAACAAATGGCTAAAAAAAACCCACAACTCACCCACAGTTGTGTCTGATCACACAGTGATGGGCTGTGCCCACAGCTCCAAAGGGCTGTGTGATCTCACAACTGCGTGTCTTCTGGAGGAAATAGCCTCTCTTCCCCTGTGCTTCAACTGGCGCGTGTGACCACAACCTCGGTGTATCTGATCTTTGGCTCGGCTCTTCATTTGAGCTGGGAGAGGTATCTAGAAATTTATGACATTTATAATTAGTTCATTTTGACAGAAGTCAATATGAACTTCCCCTTCCCTCCACCCTGCAAGGACATGTAGCTATCTTGATGTTCACTGGCATGACAAAGGATAGAAATACAATTGGCACCTAACAAACAAATGAATATCTCATCGAGTTAATCTGAGAACTTCTCCCTTCTGTCAGTCAGAAGAGAGGAGAGGAAGCACATACTGGTTTCTTCCTTCTGGGTCAACCCCCCTCCTTGTTCCTAGTCTGAGGCCTTGCCCATTCCTTCAGCTTCCCACTTCCTCTGTGTTTTCCAATCAGGACTCCTAGAAGATATTGATGACCCAGGGATTTCCCCTGCCCTTTCACAAATTCTGTGCACAATTAAAAGACTCACGACTGACATGGTCTGTTATACAGTGGGCCCTGTGGTTCCATATTTTTCTTGACTTTGTATTTCTGCATGTGGAAGGTTAGTTGAACATCAGCTCTGTGCCACAGAACAACCGAATCATAGGATTTTATAATTATATGAACGCTATTAAAGGCCCTGCCAATTGCTCCAGGACAGCCAGGGACACCGAAACTCACAAATTTGAGCTGCCTTAATAGCCAGCCAAAACCAGTACTCATCATTATGCTACACCATCCCAGACCTGGGAAGAGGTAGGATCTTGTCTTGAACATCACGCTGAGCTTCAGAGACAATCAGAGCACTTCCAGCATAGCATGAAATCAAAGACAATCCCTATTCTCAGTTCCAAGCACAAGATGATAAGCATATTTGGGGGCTTCTGATGGAAAGTCCATTTGAAGAATACAATTACATAGCTATCCAAAAGCTGTACAACTTGTTAAAAAGTATATGGTCTCATAGATAGGCCTATACAAGAATAAGTTAGCTAATTGAGATCTTGATGCTGAAGTAATTTGATAATATGGGTCAGTAGCTCTCAAACATAACAAATTTTCAGTACCTAGCTGCAACACACTTCAAACACACACAGACACACACACATAAAGCTGCCATCTATTGAGTCAGACCATTGGTCTCTCAAGGTCAGCATTGTCTACTACCTGATCTTTTTAATTGGAGATGATGGGGATTGAATTTGGCACCTTCAGCATACAAAGGAGATGTTCTGCCACTGAGCTGTGGGTCCTGAGCTACTGCATGGCAAGTTTCAGCTATCAACCAGCTTCAAGGAAAAGGACTAGGGTTCTACCAACAATACCAAACTGGGAGCCCCTGCAGATATCCAAATATGGTTTCCCTCCTACTCTGCTGGTTTCAGTGGCATCTGCCTCTTGAACTGGTTTCAGGAGGGTTGACGTATTGATTGGCAGTAGAAGAATTAGATTCAAATCCAGTAGCACCTTAGAAACCAACAAGATCTTCAGCATATATGCTTTCAAGAGTCAAAACATTGATTCTCAAAAGCTCAGACCCTGAAAATCTTGTTGATCTCTAAGATGCTATTGGACTCAAATCAATCTCACCTCTTAAGATGTTTA